TGTCTCTGTCCATTCTTCTTCGCTTCTAAGTATTACGTAATGCGGAATTTTCTCCTTCTTTTTTTTTTTTACTTTTGACAATATGAACCTGCCTCTTCCTTCTCTATTCCGCTTGTGGCCCTTAGGCGTTTCTGAAGCTAAAACAAAAAAAAAAAAACAAGTAAAAAACGAGTAAGCCATTTATCTACCACAAAGGAAAAAGTTAATGTTTTCTTCTTTTTTTTTTTTTTTTTTTTTGAACCTTTGCTCTTTCTGTAGCGCTGTCATCTTCAGCTTTATTATCATCAATTTTCTGTTGCAATCCTCTTAGCTGTCGTTTTCAAATGTTGTTGTAATTTACTGTCGAAATCAACTGACTTTTTTTTGACACCTAAACAATATTGTTTTTGCTTTCTAAATTCTTTTGAACACATCATCATCCCTCTCAGCAACTAACGACTTTTCATATTCAAAATGAATTACTTTTAGTAACACTAATTTCTGAAGACGTTTTTAAAAATTCACTTAGTTTTGATGTTTTTTTGTTGCCTTCCTCACTTCTGCCCATCCATAATAAACCATCTCAGCAAAAAAACACAAAAACACAATAATTCGTATACCAAAGCAAAGATCAAAGCGCTGTTTTGTTCCTACAAAGGAATATTGTTTCTCGAACTCCCCAAAGAAACCACTACACTGCCGAATTGATGGCGGGTAAGATTGGTTTGGTGATATTACGAAGAAAACGGAACGACACGTTTCATTAGCTGACAGTTCGCACAAAAAAAAAATAAAACTTTAAACATCAGTTGGTAAAAAACAAGCATTTTCATCTGAAGAAATAATGTCAGGTTATTTACAAAAAGTATATTAAGTTGAGAAATGAAAATCAAAATAGAAAACAAGAAATTTAAGAAAGAAGGAATATAACAAACAAAAAATTGTCGACTACTGAACAAAACAGAATGAGGAAGGAAAACGAAAAAAACGGGAAGGAAAAAAAAGATGCCTAAATAATTTGTTTCTAAAATAGTTGCCATTCAAAATTAAATTTCCTCCTTTACCTTCCTCTCTCCACCCCGTCT